CTCCAGCGACCCCTCATTGGACCGCGCGACGCTGCCCATTGTCGCTTGGGCCAAGGCGGTACAGTTCAATTCAGGCAGTTCCGACCTGCGCGCAATGGGCGGCGCGTTTGCAGGGGTTCAGGCGCTGCTCGCAGAAGCGTGGCCAGAGGCGCTTACTGGCAGAGGACCTGCCTCGGCCTGCGTGCTTGCATGCTTCCGCCTGGGCAGCGGCGCGGCCTGGCGTGCTCCTCGGCGACCTGCAGCGGCGCATCAACCTCGGGGTGCTGGGGGCGTCGATCCTGGCCTAGCACATTGCGGCCAGCCATGGGCGTCTGCTGTGGCGCGAGGCGGCCTGGCCGAGCGCGTTGCGGCCAGTCATGGGCGTCTGCTGTGGCGCGAGGCGGACAAGAACCGAGGCGTTGAGCGCCTGTCTGGGGGGGGGGGCGCCATTTCCAGCATCAGGCGCGCGCTGCGCTGCAGGCGCACTAGCAAGCGGATGGCGAAGCAGAGTGGCTTCGCCAAGTGTGCGCCGGTGGGCTGCCTTTGGCCCGTGGCCAGAAGGTTCGAAGCAGACAGACCGCTGGCCTCGCCCCCATGGCGCCCGAGGGGCTGCAATGCGCGCGGCGCGGTGCGGCGCCTGGCGTGGCAGTGCCCGGCAATGGCCTTGGGGCGCGCGGAGTGGGAGGCCTGCGGCGACGGCGACGAGCGAAGGCCGCCCGATGACATGCACTTCAGGACATCATCGACATGTCCAGCCTCGACGCGACGGGGGGCCCACTCTGGTCGCACGCCTTCGCTCCAGTGCACGGGGGGACCCTGCCTTTGCCCACGGGGGACAGGGGGGCACGGAAAGAGGGTTGGGAGGACCTGGTCGGCCAACCCTTCACGGGGGATTTTTTCTCCGACGGCAGCGTCGTGGACCCCAGTTTGGTATCTGCGCGTGGCGGCTGGGCAGTGGTTGGGATGGGGCAGGAAGCCGAAGCGGTCAGCCTGTTCGGCCCCCTACCGTGGCCATGCCCTCAGGAGTCGGTGGCGGCGGAGCTCTGCGCGACCGTCGAGGGCGTCCATAACTGCCTGCCGCCCGTCAGGATCTCCACGGACTGCCGGCTGCTAGTCGACGGCGTCGCTGCTGGCAAGGCCTGGTGCCTGCAATGGCAGCGGCCGCGCAGGGAGCTCCGGGCCCGCCCGTGCGCGGTGATCGACGACGTCGGCCTCGACGACATCGCCTTCCACGAGGTGAAGGCCCGCGTCGCGATGGCCGACCCGGCCGAGCACGTCGCGGATTGGCAGCGGCGCGGCAACCGCAGGGCGGACGCGCGCGCCTTCGACGGGGCCAGCACGCACCCGAATGACGTTGGCATTCGGGGCCGCAGCGCCCGCCAGGACCGCCTCGCCGGGAAGGTATTCCTCTGGATTGGGGCGGCCTTGCAGGAGGGCAATGCTGAGCTCGCGGCAGAGGGCGGCCATGAAGGGCCAGGACTGGCAGCTGTGAGGTGCGAATGGCGAGGCTGCAAGCTCCGCTGGCGAAGCCGCTGCAACTTTCCAGATTGCCCAAGACGAACGTGTGGGCGCCGCAGCGCCTGGCTGAGCGCGGGCAGCGACGCGGCGTGGGCATGCCTGGAGCGCGCAGGCCGCGGCGAGGCCATTGCAGGGTCTTTGTCTTCAGGCATTGGCGGTGCCTCGGGTGCGGCGTCAGCGTCGGCGGCGCTCCTGGCGGTAGGTGCAGCTCTGCTCTCCAGCCGGGCCAGTGTGTCGCAGGGCTTATCGGCGGCAAGCGACGATCTCGGATGCGGAGTGGGTGCGCCAGCTGGAGGGGGGGCCAGTTTCACCAGCGGCGACGCGGCAGCAGCCTGCGGCCCAGCCTGCGGGACAGCCTGTGGCCCAGCCGCCACCGCCACCTCTGTCAGCGCTGCCGCCATGATGGGGGATCGACGCGCATGAGTGTCACGATTTGTGGCGCGCGGGCAACCGCCCCTTCCGCGTCGAGTACGGCTACTAGGCGCAGAGCGGGGGGGTGGCGAGCCTCGCGGAGGAAACAGCAGGCAGTGTTCGGCCGTCTGAAGCGGGGGCTCCAGCCTGCAGGCAGCGGCAGCATCGGCGATCCAGCGCCTCTGCGCCGCGTGCGCAGGCGGTTGGAGGACCAGTTTCAGCCGTGTCAGTTCAGTTATCAGTTCGGGCCTGACCCAGGGGCGCAGGTTCCCCCGCGCTCGGGAATGGGCCCGACAACTGTCCAGTTTGGCCAGGTGCCTTCGGGGGGAAGTTGCGCTGCTGGTGGCGAGGTGTGTCCGCGCGCAGTTCGCGCGGTGCGCTCAGCATGCCACCCCGCGAACAATGTGCTGTCCTAGATCGTGCGGCATTGCACTGTGCGAATCGCTGGAGCAGGCCTCTGGGGCATGCTCGCCAATATTCTGGCCCTCGCGCTCCCCATATTTCCCGCTCGGGCTCGTGAGCCGAACCAGGAGCGAAGTCCATTTGCTCGGGGTCGGGCTCCGAAGCTCTGGCAATGCAGAAGCCTCTGTGTTGGGGCCTTTGGCCTATGAGGTGTTGCGCTGCTGGCGCTGATTTTTGCTTTCTGCTCGGCGGCCCGCGGGTTTGCAGCTATGGGGGAGTTTTGAGCGGAAGCTGTCTCGAGCCTGGCTCACTAATCTGTCTGGCGCGTCGCGCCCCTCCATATTTCGTTATCAGTTCAGTTCGGGCCTGGCCCAGGGGTGCGGGCCTTTCTGCGTTCGGGATGGGGCCCGGCACCGTGGGTAATGCAGCAGTCCTTTTTGGCCAGGTACCTTTGAGGGGCAAATTGCGTTGCTAGCGGCGTGGTTTTGCCAGCGTGTGGCTTGCGCGGTGCACTCAGCCTGCCCCTGCGCCAGTTCTGCGCGGATCCTGAACCGGGAGTGTTGGCTTGCCTGCGCTCGTGATCGGGCCCCGCTACCTGCGGCAATGCAATCGGCCCAGTTTGGCCAGGAGCCTTTGGGGCGAGTTGCGCTGCTGCAGGTGAGGTGTGGTGCCGCCTGCTCGCTCGTCGGCGTTGGCGGCCCGCGCTGGTGTCTATTCGGAAGCTGAGCCAGGCGCGTGGGCCCCCTGCGCGTGGGATCGGGCTCCGATGCCAGCGGCTTGCAACATGTCCAGTTTGGGCCCCGCCTCAGGGGCTAGTTGCGAGATGGTGGAGAGGTGCGGCCCCGACATGCGCGCGGCATCCACGGTGCGAATCGCCGAGCAAGCCTCTCGAGCGTGCTCGCACTATTTCTGGCGCTTGTGCCCTTCTATATTTTCAGCTCGTCTGGCAATGCAGAGCCCTCTGTGTTGGGCCTGCGGCCTCTGAGGAGTTGCGCGGCTGGCGCCGAGATCGCCTTCTCCTGCGCGGCGGCCCGCGTTGCAGGATGTGGGCGGGGTTCGAGCGGGGGCCGCCTCGAGCTGGGCTCTTTTCCTGTCTGGCGCGTGGCCCCTTTGCATATTCCGTTCCGAACGGAGGCGGACCAGGGGTGTAGGCTCGCCCTCGCTCGGGGTCGGGCTCCGACGCCATGGGCAATGCAACCGGCCCTGTCTTGGCCTATAGTACAAGTTGCGCTGCTGATTGAGAGGCGCAGACGCGCGCTTCCCTCATCTCGGCGTTCTTGCACGCCGTCCGCTCAATGTAACTTGACGCGCTTGGCGCGCCTCGGCCCTGCGCGTCTGTCTCGACGTGGGGGCGACCCGAGGGCGTGGGCCCCTCCGCGCTCTGATTCGTTCTCCGCTGGCCTGCGGAGCGACCGCGTCGCGGGTGCCTTCGCGAGGACACAGTTGCTTCTCAGGTGCGGTGTGCAGTCAGTCTGCGTGCCGGCGCCAGCTCGGCAGCCGAAGCCCGCGCTTGCTGCCGTGCGCGCTGAGTCTCTCTACTGCCTGGATCTGTCTATCGTCTGCTTCGGCCAAGGCGCCTCCCAGCTCGGGGCGCCCGAGGGGATCTGCGTTGCGCGCCGGGGCGCGCGTGCCCGAGCTTTGCCGGCGCAGGGCCAGAGGGAAACGCCTCGGGCCGAGGGGCAGTGCGAGCAGGGAGCTCCTGTCCCCGTCAGCCGCGCGGATCAGCATTACCATCGTTATCGTCGTCATCATCATCATCATCATCATCATCATTATCATCGCCATCGCCATCATCATCATCTCCATCATCACCGTCGCCATCATCAGCATCTTCATTCGCATTACCACTATCACTGGCAGCAACCTGAGCATCATCACCATCAGCACTGGTAGCATCAGCATCATTTGCGTTACCGCTATCATCATCCTCAGCATCATCATCAGCACCGTCATCGTTAATCATTATCACCATTGCCATCACCATAGCCGTCATCACTATTATCACCATCATAAACATCTCCGTCACCATCAGTATCATCATCACCATCGTCACCATCATCGTCATCGTCATCGTCAAAGTCATTGTTATCGTCATCGTCATCGTCGTCGTCGTCGCCTCGTCGTCGTCGTCGTCGCCAGTGTCATCGTTATCGTCATCGTCATCGTCATCGTTATCATTCAGCCCCACCGGCATCAGCATCAACACCATCGGCATCAACAGTCACAGTATGGCACACCCCTCACACTTTTCGTGGCCCCGTAGGGAGCTCCACCGAAGGCTCCAGTAGGAGGGCCCGAATGCTGCCCCCCCCTTCCCCCAGTCTAGCACACCCCTCACACGTTTCGTGGCCCCGTTGGGAGCTCCACCGAAGGCTCCAGTAAAAGGGCTCGGATGTTGCCCCCCCCCCCCCGCCCCCCCACTCTCGCACACCCCTCACATTTTTGGTGGCCCCGTAGGAACTCCACCAAAAACTCCAGTAGGAGGGCCCAGATGCTACGTCCGGCACGCGCCTCACACGTTTCGTGGCCCCGTAGGGGGTTCCACCGAAGGCTCCAGTAGGACGGCCCGGATGCTGCCTTGCCCGCCCCCCCAGTGGCACACCCCTCGCGCGCTTCGGGGAACTCCGCCGAAGACCCCAGTCGGTCGGAGGGCCTTCATGCGGTACGAGGGGGAGGAGGAGCGGCGGCAGGTGATGCAGTGGTTCCTGGGGAAGTTCTCGGGCGCCGTCGCCGGGGCAGCCCAGAGCGTGGTCAAGGCCGGCGGGCAGCACTCCGCGCCGCCCGCCGGGTCTCGCTCTTCTCGGGCACCCTCCCCAGGCAGGCGAGGGGGGGTGGCGTTTTTGGTCCTCCCGGGGCCTCCCCGAGGGAGTGGTCGTCATCACGTCGGGATCCGCTTCGAAAAATTGGTCAGGATCGGTCCAGGGATTTCTCGGCAATGATTTTGTGCGGGTGTCGGCCAGGTGGGGAAGCCGTCGTTGTCACATCTGGCCCTCCGAAAAGCGCGACGAAAAGTTTGTGGTGTGGTTTCCTCAAATGTTATCCTCAACACTTCTCCTTCCTCCCTGCGCCCTGTCATCTGAAGGCCATCTGGCTAACCCTTCGAGTGCCATGGCCCAAATTTCTTCCCCCTCCCGTCCCCCTCCCCTCCCCACCTTCCTCGCTCTCCTCTTCCTCCTCCCTCTCCCTTTCATCCTCCCCCTTCTCTGAAGGCTTAGCGCTATTGATGAAACAGTGCAGGCATGTGTCACGAATTGACTCCATGAGCATTCGGTCCCCCTGGTTTCAGGTCTGACGCGAATTCATCACGGAACGGCGCTGGGAAAAATAGTCCTGTACACTTGATTCAGAGTGTTGCCGTCGGGGAGGCGGAGGAGGAGACGGAGAAGGCGGAGGCGTCCGAGGCGATGGTGATGATGGATGAGGAGTAGTAGTAGTAGTAGTAGTCGTAGTAGTAGTAGTAGTAGTAGTAGTAGTAGATAGTAGTAGTAGTAGTAGTAGTAGTAGTAGTAGTAGTAGTAGTAGTAGCAGTAGTAGTCGCGGTGGTAGTAGCAGGAGTAGTGGTAGTAGTAGTAATAGTCGTGTAGTCGTCGTAGTAGTCGTAGTAGTAGTAGTAGTAGTAGTAGTAGTAGTAGTAGTAGTAGTAGTAGTAGTAGGATTAGTAGTAGTAGTAGTAGGCGTAGTAGTAGCAATAATGATAGTCGTAGTCGTAGTCGTAGTCGTAGTCGTAGTCGTAGTCGTAGTCGTAGTCGTAGTAGTAGTAGTAGTAGTAGTAGTAGTAGTAGTAGTAGTAGTAGTAGTAGTAGTGTAGTCGTAGTGGTAGTAGTGGTAGTAGTAGTAGTAGTAGTAGTAGTAGTAGTAGTAGTAGTGGTAGTAGTAGTAGTAGTAGTAGTAGTAGTCGTGGTCGTAGTAGTAGCAGGCGTAGTAGTCGTAGAATACGACGTAGTCGTAGTAGCAGTAGTAGTAGTAGTAG